TTCAATGCAATGATGTTTCAATACATAATTACTCCTTATAACTTACAACAAATTTCTGAAACACAGTGGAAATTTATAATTTGTGCTTTCCTAAATCTTTTATGTTATTAACCACTCAAACAGATAATCAGTTTTGACATTTAAAAAAATTCTGTTATAATTCTAATCCAAAAGCACTATCTACTAGGAAACAGTCTGCTACTTTAAATGCTTTGAAAATATAGTAAGCATGTATTCATATTTTGCAATAGAAAATAAGAGAGTTTGCAAGGTAATATTTTCATCCTCTTATTCCAAAACTAAGGATGACAAAAAAGAGGAAAGAAATGTAGCAAAAGGCGCTGGCATGGTGGTATCTTCTATGTTTGCTTTGTTTTTCAAGATCAGTCATCTGAAAACTCCGGAGAAAGGAGTTCTTGTCTGTCAAAGGTATGATGCTTTAAGGTCTTTGGAGAAAGTAGAACTTGGCGTAGTAATGTAGTTCTCTGAGAGCCACCCTGCTGGACCGTGATGAGTTCTCACTACTCTGCTTCCTCTTTGCTTGTCCAGTGAGGACCCAACAGTCACTTAATGGACTCTTCTGACAGACCAAAATCTATGAACATGACAGCTCATAAAACTAATACTTGAAAGTCCTAATACTCCTACAGAAGCATGAAGCCTACAATCAAACCAGTGTGTAGAAATACTCCCAAAAAACATCTTGAGCTGCAGAGAACAGCACTGAAACAGAACTGAAGCATTCTATAAGTTACTAAACACTTTATAAAGGTACAATACCCCATACAAGAGATTCTTTTTGATACCAATAAAGAAAGGAAAAATCAAGACTGCCCAGCATCGCACATGAGACTAGAGACTGAAGAAGAAAAAATAGCCTCTTGCTCTTATTCCATCATTCCCTTCCATCACATTCAGAAGGTCACCACACACAGCTGGGGCTGAAATTCCCATCTCTAACTCAGGACCATTCATCAGTCACCTACTTCTGAATTGCTTCAGTTCATAAAGACATTGACGTAAATAGTTCCCTCAAAACAAATATGTGACATGCCACATGAAACCTTCCAAAGGTCAACTGGCTGTTCTTCCTAAGTTTTTACTCAACCATCAAACATCACTTTTCTTGACAAAATACCAGTGTGCATTCTGACCATGATCACAGACAATAAAACAGGGGCCAAGCTTGACCAGTGCTAAGAGAAGCTGGTGTTGAAAGGAGTGTGGCAGAAGAACTGGTACTACTCCATGTCCATTTAATTGACTTAACACAGAATTATTTTAGAGCAAATACGAGAAACTGGAACAAGCAAAGTCCTGGTAAGTGAAGACTGACAGGTAGGAACCTACTAGAGGAACTTCTGTAGCTAGTAATGAGAGAATTTTGAACTTTTCCAAGGATATTCTGGGTCAGTAATTAGAGTTACAAAATCAGGAAAATCCCCAGACAATAGTCAAAAGGTAATGAAATTCCTCAATCTGAAGGAAAACACAAGATGTAGACACATAGTTGAAATGTCAAAATCATCAAATCAATGCTGAGCTGTAACACGTGAAAGAGCTGGGAATAAGTATAGTAAGAAATCTAAAAATAACTTGTGTTGCTACAGATGAAGGATCTGAGGTTTTTTTCCATAGAAGAGTAAAAAAATACTTTGAAATCTGGCCAAGCTCATCACTACTGAGTCAAGGGCATCACACATCAATCTGTATCATAAAAAAATAGGATAAGAGCTCCCACAAAGAAAACATTAGCTATGTTAAGTTCTCAGGAGAGAGAGAAAAAAAGAAAAAAACTAAGGAAAAAAGGAGTGTGGTTATCCACTTCTCACTTATGCTAAGTGAACCAGTTCATCTTAATTTGTGCATACTATTACATCTCCCAAGAGACACAGTTTTGCTCTATTGTTCTGCAATTTAACTGAAAAACTGTTAGACCTCATAAAGAGAAGTTTGTGGAGGTTGTCAGAGAAGAAAACCAGAATGCATCACCTACAGGAAGCGTGTGCTACTACATTTCAACTACCTTCCTGCATCTTAGGGAAAATGAAGAACAAATACAAGGAGAAACAGTCTTCATGGACAACTGATGTACACACGATCTTTTGGTTTTCATTACAGCATTTTAACCTAACTAGATTTTTAAGTCCAGACAGTTCTTTCTATTATTCTCTCTATTTTCACCTCCCAATTTTCCTTTACATTCTACTTTAACTTGCAATCTTGCTCAGAGTATTTTCTCTCTATAAAGGTAAACTATATCTCACTCAAAACATGCTATTTTAATGAAAAAATACAGCATATAGAATAATCTTAGAATACATGGGAATCAAAATAATATGAATTCATAAAAATACATGAGGAACAAGAACACATAAGAGTATTTGCCTCTTTTGTAATTGTTGTGTTATAGGTGTATTGCATTACTTGTGGCAGTAGCGTATAGCAGGATAACGATCATCAAAGGACTAAGACTGTAAATTGTTGAATTTATACCACTGACTTTCTACAAAATAGCCTGGTAACCTCCTCTGAAGTATGAATATCTTTAAAATATGACACACATTTGTATTGCCTAAGGTTAATTCCCATGCAATAGAAGCGACATCAGCAGTAATGAACAGAGTGACCTCTAATCAACCAAATTTGTTCTACTCTTGGAAAACTACATAAATCAGTTACCAAGGAGCTGCCAAAGTCTTACTAAGTACTTGAAAGCTCTTCCTAAATGGAAGTAACAGAATTAAATTTAGGATGATTTTGGATACTACTGTCCAAACCCCAAATACTATGTAACGATGTAATGTTCACTCCAAAATAGGTGGGTTTATTACTGACTTCTCTAAAAGGTCCTCCCAGACTCTAATGTTATTTTACAAAAAATGTAAAATATCTCCCCATCTTTACAAATGCCATCAAATTTTATGGATAAAACAAGGCCCTTTCAAATCAACCTGTATTACTCACTTCACTTGTGAGAAATCTTGCATGAAATTTTCCCCTCACAATGGAGATGCACTGTAGCTATAAGGAAGTTATTTGTAAATGCCAGCTTCCACCCAACATGGATGAATTCCTTGAGTTTCCTATAACCGACAAATGTTAAGCCTGACAACTTTTATTTTTTTAATTCTCAAACAGCAACTGTTTACCACCAGTAACAGCTTAAGCAGCTACTGCCCCACCCCTCCTACTGTGCTGTGCCAGAGATTTATTTTTGGCTGGGTCTGTTTTCCAAACCCGTTTACAGCATGTCCGCACAGACACACGTCAATACAATGGAAGGACGTGAGGGGAGAAATCCCATCAAACCATGGCAAATGCTGGACTTGAATCACGGTGTGCAGGAGGCTTCTCTCCCTTCGACTGTGTGCAGAGGGAGCCCAGAGAGATTTGTTTCCCTGAGTTCCCTGTAGCCACTCAAGTGCCATTTGCAACACAACTATGAAAACGGCAGACCATCATGAGACCTCAACCACGGCAATAACCAGGCCAACAAATATCCTGTGAATCTTTTTCTGCTCTCTGTGGAAACATTTTAATTAGCTAGTTCTTTGCAGTGGAGCTGAAAATATATCATTAATCTTTAAATAAAATATGCATGTTGCACCATTTCTCCCTTTCACAAAAGAAAGGGTTTGACTTTTAATGTGTGAGGGTTAATACAGTAACTTGAAAATTCAGTTATTGCTAGGTACTCTCAGAAACGTGAATGGTCAGAATACACAGATGAAGATTTTCACATCTTTGTATCTCTGAAAGGCTCTAAATGAATACAAAAATATATTCAAGATATACAGACACAAAAAAATGCCAAGAACAAGTGAAGATGCAGCAGCCTTTTTAGAATAAGAAAATAGCAAGAGCTTGAAATGAAAGACCATACACACATAGTAGAATATATATTTAAGGAAGCTATGCCGGAGAAATTTAAATTAATTAGTTAAATCTTCTAGAGTTTAAACAATTTCACTGAGGCAATGTAACTTTCAGGATAAAAGGTAAATAATGCAGAATTACCATAAGTACTTCAAACATGGTATTTATTATTAAAATAACGCACATGTAATATATGCAGTTTTGTTTGTTACTAAGAAACTAACAAATGTACCTAGACACTTTAGAAAAATAATGAGAAAAAATTTAATGTAAATTCAGCTGAAATTGGAAGAATTCAAAATAATGATTCTACTATCTTCTGCTTTCTCACTAAAAGATTATTGAAAACTGAATCTCAAACAATGCCTTGTAATTTCTAAAATATGCTGTTCTGGAAAACTATCAAGGTTTCCAGTTACATTCCTACTGTTTAAATTCAATGTAATTAATTTGACTTTTTATATACATATACAAAAGTGCATTTTTGTACATTTGAATTCTGAATTGTTTGATGTTGGAAGTATTTTTGACAAAATAAATTTTCTGATATATGTAAAATACGGTTGCCTTTGCATCAAGAAGCTATGCTATACCAGTGAAAACACATTGGATTAGTAGGCTTCACAGACCAAAGCCACTGAATAAAATGATTTGGAACACAGCTGCTTGCAGAGATTATTAAAATTGTGGGGGGGTTTTATCTGACAAGATTGGGAGGAGAAGACTTTGCAGATTTCTCCCCCCTTTCCAACTGGACAGGAAAAAATTGCCTTTCTGATTTACCTAGGGAAAAAGATTGTGTTGAGGCTTTCTGTGAAATCAGAACAGGAATATTTTCCTTTAAGTGTGTGTTTTCATTAATTACATACTAACCTGCATTCTTTGGGTGGTGAAATAAAAGAGAAAAAGCATTAGAAGTAGTATTTCCTATAGAAACAATTGCCTGTCAAACAAAGCATAAAAAGACAAAAGGCAGAAACACTGTTTCAGCTTGAATGCCTTAATGTCACCATTTGTCATGCAGCACTTCCTCAGAAAACCCAGAAGTACAGTTAACTCTACTCCTCTTTACACCACACACTTTCTCTGTTGGTACAGGATTAAAATGTGCCTGGCCTGACAATGAAACAGCAGAGCCATCGCACATTGTTATGCAACTCACTGTCTGCAAGGGTGGCTCGTAGCTCCTTCTTTATTCAGCAAGTGCCAAGTGCATGTTTAATCAATGTCACAGCTCACCACAGTGTGCAACTAAAGCCACCGTCATTCCTCTCTTCAGATTTGCCTGGCTGAGTTATGCAATGCTCTGAAGAATACCTTGGAATTCTTTCCAGAGGCTCTGAATGCAGGTGTGTGACAGCGTTCACACTACTGCCAGCAAAGCAGACTTCTTTTCATCCTTTTTCAGGCTGGACTAAAATTACATAGTGTGACTGCACGTAGTTCGCTGCATTTGGAATTACAGCATGTCAACGTGAGAAAGGCTCTTCAGACGGCTGCCACAAAGAGTAAATCAAAGGCTGGGTTTTTCTGAAGTCTTAATAAATAACTAAGTATAACTGAATAAAACCAGGAGCTGTTTGTATTTTTTTTAAACAAAACAGAATAGCATGCATTTTGTTGCTCTGCATCATCGAAGGAAAAAAAGCCACAATTTTAATGGGAATTAGTCAACAGTGAGGATCATTACGAGAAAGAGCTTTACTGTTTTTCGACTACACTTGCTTTAGTGGATTACTGAAAGAGAATACCAGTCATTTGGAAGATCCTGTAACATTATTATCCTCACCGATAAACTTCATCAAGAAACTGCTCGTGCTCCTATCTGATCTGTCTGAGTGAGGAGAGCAGCCCCTTCATGAAGATAAAAGCCTGGCTTGCCACTGAATCGACAAGTAAGAAGCATGTCTGATGACATTTTATTCCTGATGCAATGTAGGGTAAGAAATATCTTTTATATTTTACCTTTCTGTAAGATATGCTCTGAACTGATGGCATTAATTAGACTCACAGCAGAAACACGTTAATCTCTAATGATTAAAGATGTTTACCAGAAGAGAAAAATGCTGTTGCACTATAAAATGTGATTGTAAATCTTCGGTATATTGGAGTTATGTGAACGAGTAGACATCCCAATCAAATTTCTGATCAATAAAGCTAAAACGGCATGGCAGATTACATATAAGATCAACATCTCAGTCACCAACGAACATAATTTTACAGGGAATATGTTTCTAGAGGATATTTGACCATAAATTAAGAGTACTAGAGCAGCTAAGTAATAGAAACGACCTGTCAACCTCACTTTTGCAACAAAAAAAAAAGATAATAAATCACATGCATCTGGAAATGTCCACCTTGAATTCCTATATTGCATAGAATTTTGCCACTGTAACAGTACTACTGTTCTTTGGCATACTGCAAAAATCAGCATATATATCAAAAACCTTTATATTTGAAGAGATAGACATTATCTGTTAAATGTTTACTGTTGCATGGATGTCCAAAAGCTGAACTATTAAACATGAAAAAGGGCAAGATCTTACCTGCAATTGCCTACTTAAGCTCATTGGTGAAAAACAACTGTAATACTGTATTAAGGAGGCATATTTTACATGTTTGAAACCAGCAGGCATTAACAATCTCAACTGTTTTTGTACCATGGAGTTAAATATTTAAGAATGGCTGAAAATGCACATAACCTCCCCAGGCATCTCAGAGTATTCCACAATGCTCACATACCTGCTTTCATCAATTTCATGTTTTGTAAGGAAACAAATTATTTGGCTAAAGATAAATTTTAAATTTCTTTTATAATAAAGCATAATAACTGGCTTGAAGCACCAAGCTATTTTGCACTCCTATCAAATCTGTATCTACAGAACAATTACTTTTAACATGGAAATGTTCATACAAAAAGAAAACAAAAGATGAATGCAACTGAATAAACACCGTGTTAAGAAATGTTGTATAAGAACTACGGAATTGTTTCTAAAAAGATCGAAGCTTGCATGTTTGTCAGACCAGATTTACCATTTGCTTTCTTTTTTCTAGCTAGCTGCCAGAATACTGGTGAAGGCATTTGCAGGAAAAATGGGGACCTCTGCCATCACAACACTGGAAGATGTAAAAAGGCAAGAGGAAAAGGAGGAAAAAGAAGAATCTATTTTAGCACTGCTTGGAATCATTGGAACTGTGCTCAATTTATTTGTTATTGTTTTTGTGTATATCTACACTACACTTTGATGACATTTTTGAATATCAATTGCACATCACACAGTGCAAAGACCTGCGATGGCAAGAATGATTTCTAAAGCAAAAAACCTCCACTGTCTGAAAGGATTATCAAAAACATTCCAGAGCAAAGTGTCTGGCTAAGGGTGCTGCATCAATGACTGATAAATGTATCTGTAAGCCCAGTTAGAGTGCTACATTATGTAAATGAAGGTAGACAATATTCAACTTCTTGTTGGCAACAGATGAAATCCAAATAGCAGGATCAGAAATGGCACTTTTTTACTGCCAGCAAACATGCAAGACAGAAATGTAAGCAAACACTGAAAATACTCAGAACAGAGAAAGACATAAATTAAATATATAAACAAATATAAGCAAGCCCCCATGATGCTTTCTATGGTTTTATGCAGTATGTCTCTTCACAGCTGAGACCAGAAAACAGACAAAAAGGGGTTTATTTTTAGACCACCATAATTTAGGCTTATAACTTACATTAATGTATGATAAGCGTGGAAACAGGACCACTATTATACCAGAAGTTGTAATACTATAAATAAAATTTTAACTATTGACTATATTCTGCAGCATTTTTGTTAGTCTTGTGGAAAGCTGAAAAAGGTTAGACTTTCTTGCCTTTACTAAATCTGTATTTGAAATCATCATGCTATACAGACAATGTGCTTTTCTAATTAAAAATCCTTTAAAGTGGTGTGAAAAAATAAAGAATAGTTTTAGTACTTCTTTTAAGAAATATTAATAACTATGACACACTAATACATATTCTCTAAATGAAAAAAACTTAAATTACATTTTCTATATTGTCATTTTTTGAATGTGCTTAACAGACATCAAATACAACTCTCATGTTTTCATCCTGATGTTAATTTCCACGTCAGACATATCACACAAGGATTCAAGGTGTCTCATGGAAAACAGGTTTAATAACCTTTGTCCACAAGACTGTACTCTCCCTTTCTGGACGAGGTCCTGAAGACATTTTCCCTTTTTGCACTGTTTATGATCGAGGCCCAGAATTGCAACTTTTACGCATACTCCATGGAATGTCCAATTTAACTACCTGAAATTGATGAAATTATTTCCACATTTTAAATTAAACCTACATGTCTTTGAATTAGATCCAAAGCTGCAGATAGTCTGAGATCATAGAAGTTTTCGCATATGTGATTTTATCTCACATACGTCTTATAAGACAAAAGTTACTTTTGAGAGCTTAGGATTAAAAACACAGTAAATAAACACCACAAAAAAAAACCAAAACCAAAAAACAAACCAAAACACCAAGAAACTGATTTTAATGAATACTCTTCTTACTATTACATGTGCCACAGTGGAACAATGGAACAGCTGCATTTCCAAAAATCAGCTCAATTTCTTCTCCTAGGTTGCAAAGCTACATCCAGCCCCTCCATAAAACAACATGCAAAGAAATACATCACTTACATAGGTGATAGTTTATTACTGTATAAAATTTCAGAACTGCTAAACCAGCTGAGCCTTTGGAAGTCACTTCGAAACAAGCACATGAATAAGATAAGGTCAGGGATCTAGAACAGAATGAATTTGGCAATGATATTTCAGTCAGCTGCAGAAACCACACTGCAACACTGATTTATGGATGAATGAGGTAGAAGATGGTATATTCTGATTTTGCAACTCTGAGTCAATACTGGCTCAACCAGAAGAAATGATAAACACAGTCGAGGTTGCACTGGAAGGAAGCACGTGCAGACAAGAAAATTTATTCACTATCCATAGTTAACAGCAAGTCTCTCGTAATGTATACTTATTTTTAGTATATGAAGCACCAAAGCATTCTGTAAAACTAAGCTACATTCTAGAGGAATTATGCAGGTTGCTAATGTTTATTTAATACTACAGAAGAGATATAACCATTATTAATTTTTTCTATGTACTTCTTATATCTACATACTTATGGATATTATTGCATTAATCTCACAATACAAGGATATTTGAGATGGGTCTTAAAATGAAAGGTTACAAGAACCTGAAAATTGAAATTCAGGTAGAAATTACTGCTGTTTATTTTGATCCTGAAGTTATTTAAAACTTGTAGATTCTGTGAAATAAATAAACAATTTTATTTCATACCATTTCAGTGCACAGCTCTCTTCTCAAAACTGTGAATCAACCTAGTACACCAGCATTGGAGTGAAAAACTGCACCTTTTTTTTGGTAAGCAATTCAACAGCAAAATAGATAAAAAACAATCCCAAAGTTATAACCAAATGTGGCAAAGGTTCAGCATTATTCTTTTACCAATGAATGAGTTCATTAACATTAATGAAGGCTAGGAGAATTTTTAATTCCAGTAATTATATACTGCCTATCTAAACTGCCACTGTACTTCCAGTTTCATTTACAGCAAAGACTTTGACCCTTTGAAGGAAGTCAAAGGGTAACATTATCATTAGATTGCCCTGGCATACAAGTTATATTTTGTTTTAAAACAGTCTGGTATTCTCTCTCAACAGGTAACACATGTGCTCTATTCTCATGTGAACCTATGTCTAACTTCAGTTAAATGAGCTCTGATATACCGCTCTGGTGCTCATACATTTAATCCAATACATGCATAAAATCTCAATAACAAACAAACAAAAAAAAATCTTAATAGCAACTTCCTCTCTTTATGCACAGTAAAAAGTCAATAGTCTAGGGAAAAGCACGGTTGTGTGATGATTCAACATTATGGTGCAGCAGCACATCACCAGTGATGGACGAATTAAGAGCTCAGTGTACCAGCTTCAGAGTACTCAACTTAGTTCAGTGGAACTGGACTACTTTGCGAAAGTAAAATAACACCATATAATGCCCTGAGAATAAATATGATTAATAGAAAAGAAGTACTCTACCTTCAGCAGGCAAACTAGTCTAGTTGAAGCTCTGAGGTAAGGAGCCAAGGCCTGAACAGTATGACTTTTATGGATGCAACTAACAAAGGTACATCAAAAGAGGCAGAAAAAAGAATTCTGTACATTCACATTCAATGTATTTGTCCATTTGTCCACAGTACTTACTAAATAAAGTTCACAATGAGGTGTTTGGCAGCAGGATAAAGCAGCACAACTTTTTGTTTATGAATCCACAGGTCCATGGTGTGGTAGTACTTGGTAAACTACGAAAGGTGCATTGGAAGCAAATACTGGACTCTCATGAAGTGAAACATGCTGGTCAGTAAACAAAATTCTTTCAGCAAAGCTCTCCCACAGAAATGCATCATCTCTTCTCAGCAGTCAAACTCAGGGAAGACTGAGCTAATCTAACACCACAAGCTATGCCGATCACATCACACAGAGTCTTTGTCCACTGAAGAAGGAAGGGTGGCTAAAAAAAGGAGCATGCAAGAAAACCTCACCTAAAATCACAATATTGCCTGCTTTCTGTAAGCCTGGGAATTCAAGCAAAGAGAATTCAAGCAGAATTCTGCAATCTGATATGAAGTCTGTTTTCCAAGGAAAAGGTGGTATCAAACTTCTCTCAATATTTGACTTTAAACACAATTCATTTATCTCAGGATTTGCTAGATAGTAGTTTAAGGACAAACCAGTACAACTATATTTTTAAGCAAGAAGAGCCTACCTAATTGTGGTATCACTGACAAAATCCCAGCTCCACTGGGCTTTTTACTGTCCAAGCCCATAAAAAAAATATACAGTCCTTGTCCTAAAAGTCACTTGATTTTCTTTCTCTCTGTTTCATGACTCCCTTCTACTGCCTTATCTCTATAAACCTTGTTAGCTACAAAGAATATTATAAATGCTCCTTTCTTCTTTCCCACTTGAAAATACTAGCTTATATTAGTCTTCATAAACCTAAGTCCATCAGTCAAATAACTTACTTTTATCAGCAAAATCTAGATTTTCAAGATAGCCATGTACTCCAGTTAGAATCTGATGGTCAAACGTTTGCTAGGAACCTCTTGTTGCACAGTGCAAATTTTATTGCTGTGCATTTTGCTCAAGGAGAGAAGTGTTCAGATATTTGAAAGAGTTTCAGTAGTAATAATTCTTTCAAATGAAACGTGCTAGATACAAGATTACAGTAAAAAGGTCTTACATGACAGCTTTTGGTGTATGATACAGAAGTTAAGAACTACATAAGTTTTACACATGTAAATATGAATTAAGCCCTTAATAAAAAACACAGGCATAGTAAAAAAACCTCACCATGTTGCAAAGATAAACTTTTTTCATTTATAAAATGAAAGATAATAAGAGCCATGGTAATGCCATAACAAGATATGAAATAAACGCAAAAAAATCATCAAGAAACAGTGAAGATTACAGCAGTTACTGCTCCTTGTGACTAGAGCTATCTTGCATAATAGGAAAGTCCTTCATAGACAGATAAACCTTCCCTCTCTACAAGAAAAAAGCAATTATGGAAATTAATGAAAGTGGTTAGTTCACAGTTTTCAAGGACTTCACAATCACCTCACTCTGATGCAGATGAAGCGTCAGAATGTATCAGAGCAATCTGGTTTGTACTCATCTGGTTCAAGGTGAGGTTTCTAACAGATTAAAATGTTATGTGAGCACTCCTTATCTGATCAATATTATTTTAATCTACAACAATCTAGATAACAAACTAGTCCATGTATGTTATGGGCAAATTAAGCACGATGGTAAAATACAGTCAAGTAACAAAAAACCTAGATAGATTTCTAACTGTGACATAGGTCAATCTGTCAAAACAGTCTTGCAAGAAGGATGTACCATATCTGTAGCTAACTGAACATATGAAATCAAAATATAAATTCACATCAATACCAAAATACTTACTATCTTATATCACCACAGTGTTAGCAGCCTACTGTGCAAGAAAAGGAACAGCATACCAGCAGCCTCATTGCACATATTTATCAAAATTTTTTCCCACATAATTGTATGTATATGGCACATACACAGATATGCGAAGATCACTGTTATTGCAACCATCAACAACAAACCCTAAAATCTAGTAGAAGAATACCTTCAGCATAAGGCTAACCTTCAACTGGTCCCACCAGCACCCATTAAAGTCTGAGAAAGTTACAGAGGTGCTGAAAATTGCTAATTTCTGTTACCATTGTGCTGGGCACAGCTTGTTGCCACTGGGGTGCCAGAACCTGGGAACATTCTGTTAGGATTCTATATGCAGTATCCCAGTTTCTCAGACTAGCATGTTACAGGAAGAATAGAGTCACCTGCTCCTTCCACATGAAAGTACCTCTTGACAGCAGAAGTTGCACCAGTATGAAAATTAGAATACCATGTACATGCATATCACTACTCATGCTGTGTTCCCTTTCCGACTCTCCCCAGGCTCCTATTCAGCCCTACCAGAGAAGAGACAGGTATTCAAGACAGAGAAGCCAGAAATTAGATAAAGGTCTATCAGGAAAGACACAAATCTATTCTACTACATTGCATTGGTCTTCAAGGTTTTTTTTAAAAAAAAAAACTAATAAAAAAGTAATTTCCATATTTGAAAGGTTTCAACTATTAAGATATTAAGTGAAATTTTCAGTCTTACAAGCATTATACCAGAGCTTAACATAACTTCAGAGCTTCTCAACCTCTGTCTTGCTTGTGTTAGCTGTGTCTCCTGACACTCAATATTAGTGACACTGAGAGCCCCACATCACGTGCAACTTGCACTCATTAATGTGAAAATTATCTGTCTGCTTTTGAACTGAAGAGTAATTACTGCATTGGAATTAAGCCTCGCATATTATCACTAAGACAAACTGTTTTCAGGGACTCCTTTCCAACTAAATGCATCTGGTTCAAATATTAACTCAGAGAAGATGATCTCTCCAGAAGTCATCGTTTTTGCAATTTCCCTCTAATACTGGTATCCTATGGCAGTGTCAAAGATGAGCTTGACTGATATATGCCTGCAAAGTTATTATTATTTTTTAAATCCAGGAGAACATTGTTAATCACAGTTTTATGTATAGACTTTTGAACAAATACAGCAGGAAACATTCACATAACAACCCTCAGATTTTACAGTTCTAAATTTCAATAGAAATAACGACATCCTTTGTGAATTTGTATTCAGAAGAGTAGTTTTCATTTTTTTCTCTGAAAAGCAAGGTTTTGCTTTGTTTTAATATAGTTTAGCTGCTACATTAAGTGCTGTTCACTCTTTACTAATTGGTAATTCACAGGCACAGCATTTCAACATCCCCTATCAACCACAAACAACAGTAGTCTCA